TCCTCTCTTCTTATTGAAAAGCTCCATGAAATGTTGGTGTCATGGCAATCACGTTCCTTGTGGCAGCTGCATGGATCGCCGAGTTCATTCGAGACTAGGACGCAAGTTCTTGAGCGCGAAAATTAGCTCGCGATGATATCCGCTCTACGCGACGAAAGATTCCGCGCGTTGCTCCGAATTCCCCAACGGCTAATGACGAAACACTTGCTCCCCTCACTACTTCTGTCGAGGTTCATGCCTGAAACTGTGAAACTGGCAGGTTTCGAAGGGGCAACCCGCAGTGCCGTCGGGAGTCCATTGGATTCCCAACCTCTCTCATCAAGCAATCATGCAGCCATTCTGGTACTGCTTGGATATACCTCCTCGCAGTCCGGTCGACGGTTCGCGAAATTCACACGACAGTCATTACATTCGTCAGAAACCCACAATATGACCGATCAATTCGAGTTGGATGGATCGAGCTCGAAGACCGGATCCACGGATGGCTCATCAACGGCGAATCTGCCCTCATCCCATTCGGGTCATCCTCACATATGTCAGCCTCTTTTCCCGTTCGTTTCCAGGGAAGCGCAGACGTGGTGGTGTCTCGAAGGGAGTGAGCGCGATGAGGTTCTTTGCTCCCTACGACTTATCGAAGCCGGATATTGAAGCGAAACGCCATCGAGAACACAGTCGAAGATAGCCAGTTCGAACCGGCCTCTGGAAGATTTCCGCCTCTCACTTTTATCGGCTGAGACCAATATGGAGCCTTGGATCGGTATGCGCGTTGATGAAATCCACGCGATCCATGGCGGTGAGCCTAACGACGCGGCATGTTTGATCACGAACCTCGAGGATTGGGGAGCGAGGAACAGAACGAACATTCAATATCGATCGCTATCCCATCTGGTTCCATTCAATGTTGAGGGACTCCGAAAAGCGATACGATGCTGTGTGTACGTCAAAACTTTCAAGAGAGAACACTGACGTCTCTCGTGACGGCCTTTATCATATCCGTTTATCATCAATGGTCGACTGATGACTCCAAGGACTCGTAAGCCGAAGCATTCCATTAGAGCACACTTACCCGGCTCTCGGGAGCTCTTATGTGAATCTTCGCCGAGGCCGAGGTCAAAGCTCGAACCGGCACCCCGCCAGCCCTGCTGCTCCCGAGGATTTCCCGAAATAAGGAAAATATCGTGTAATTCTCAGAGTCAAGACATCCGAGTCAGGGATTCCTCGGGAATGAATCCACCGGGCGCGTAACAACGGGGAGGAAGGCTGTTCTTTCCCACCAACATTCCTGCGTTCGCGGAATAATCATACCTCGACTCGAATGTTGACAGATGCACCACCACAATCGCGTACACCCGACGGATGTTTGGCATGAGTCTACGAAATTTACGACTCGCCGCACATAGGCTCAAACAGAAAGATGTCTATCCAGGTTGATGTGTGCAGCGCAAGCAGGTTTCAAAAAGCGCAATCTCAATCCTCGACACGCGGACTGCAGCCGTCGAATGACTTCCGGGTTTTTCAACTCGAGACGAGCTGGCCGAGCAGGCGGAGCTGAATCAGTTGCAATTAATTATCACTCGCATTAATCATCATTCCGGGAAAAATGACGCCGAGGCGGATCGAATCTCCACTGGAAAACACGTATGGTCACATAACCGAGCGATGAGTGCAGGGATTGCTCCTTGTTGATGCTCTTGAAGCTCATCGATGCTTGAGACTTCGTTCCGCTACGGAATTTGTAGAGATAATGACTCTCCCACCAAGCGAATCGGAATCGTCCCCCGTGCGAGAGCTTCCAGCCCGTCGACAAGGGATGCAATGGAACGAGGGTCGTCATCTCCTTAACTAGACGTACGTAAATACATGGCGATGACATGATGACGGAAACCCCGTCGTATTCGGTCATGAGGCTGGGAGCGACCGCGGTCGACGAATCACAGAAATTTCCCTCAGACTCGGTGTATAGCATGACACAAACGCTAGCAATACTAAGAATGATGAAAGTATTAGCATTTCACGTTGACCGTCCCGTTCCTAATGAATATAGATGACCAGAAGAAAAACATCATTAGGGAAAAGAACATCAACGATGATCAGTTGATTCACGTTGGAAAAGTTTCCAGACGGGGTGTGCTATCCAGAATGGCCGGGGAGAGATCTAGTTCCGAGATTTTATCCGACTCGTTGACTTGCTCGCAGGAAGGAGACCTCGAACGCGAAGCTCCCGTTCTCTGACGCGTACAGTGTATGCAGCTTCGTGAGATCGGGAGTCTAACCTTCGACGGGACTCAATTCCGTCGGCCCAACTGAAACCACTAGGATGCGAGAGTATTGAGAATGTTTCCTCGAGGATGACTCAATAGACAGCGCAGATTGAACACCACGGAATCTTCCTCGACAATGATGTCTCGTCGAGGTGAAGAGGGAGGCTGCAGAACTCTCCTGTGTCGATCATGAATAACTTCGAGAGGGTCGTTGAGCGTAGCATCGAACCATTTTGGGCGGAACGACGAGGAAAGCATTGAGAGAGTTGGCAAAAGAGTCGGGACGATTCGTTATCGAAAGACCCATAGGGTGGTTTTCACTCAGAAATTCAAGGTCAGCTGGATCGCTGAACTAACATGATTCATTTTCCTCTCCTGTGTTTGTTACTGTCTAGAGGGAGACTTCGAATGTTGCGAGCGAGCGGTATCATCGTTCGCAGCGAAGAAAACAATTCAAGGGATCACTTTCTTTGGCGCCCTCCATGCGATGGAGCTAACGGGGCATCGTACATTGGCACGAGGACAGAAAGCGAAATTACAGAAAATGGTGCCCGACCGGTAGGAGGATTCCAGGAAAAAAAGACAAGCATCTCCTCCTCAGCGGGAAAACTCCAGTTTTCTTCGAAGACGTCAGATATTCTATTACATCCGTTGCATCCTTCGCTCGAAGTTGGGAATTATCTACCATCTATGTCGAACGGCTGACGACATTATAGTTTTGTCGCCCCGGTTTCCCGTTTTCGGGAGAAACTCCGACCTCGATTGAGAGGAGTCCCGTTTGGATAGAGAGACAGAACGTTTGTAAGAGCTTCTAGTCGATCGAGCATCGATGAACGTCGAACACGAAGATTATGTCCCGAGCGTCCTCGTCGTCGGAAGCCGTTTCGATTTCCCACGAAGGGCGAACGATCTGGCATCCATGTGATCGTATGCGGTCCAGAGCGTAATATTGGCTCCTCGCGGGCCACGCGAAGCTTTCTGATGAAAGCAGACACGAGCATGCCCGGACCATAACGTGATATTCGACAAGCACACCAGTCTGGAGGAAACTTTCGCGGAATTTCCTCGACGCCAAATTTTTTCCCCAGGCAGCTAAATGCCGGTGCCAAAAAAAAGCCTCTCGAAGTACCCGCTTCCCAAGAGCGCGACGGCATCGAATCTTCCCGGAAAACAGTCTACATACTCGGCATTTTAAAGGCCATCACATCATTCATACGCGAGAAGCGTCGACGCAGCTCTCGGGATATTTGCATTCGAATCTTTCCAAATAGCAAGTATGTAGCGGCGGTAGGCAGCCGAGTTCTCAATGGTGTTGTATAGCTTCCGGAATTTCTGATGAGAAGCTCGGGAGGAGAGAATCAGAACGAAAAATTCAAGAGACCATCGCACTGGAATGTTCCGGCTCATGGCTCGATCGGCTGCTGAGCGGATACGTCGGGTCACGAGGTGGAACTGAGAGAAAAATTCGAGATTGACCTTGAATGCCGACTTCGGGGAGCCGTCGCGTGGTAAACATCGGGCACTTGTTGCTACGAACGGAAGCGATCGCGTCTTCGTCCGCCTTCGACGCTCCCATAGTAGTTCCTCGATGTTATTCGATAAAAAAATAATAATAATATTACCGATGCCCTCGAGTGCGAGGGTGTTTTACCCTTACCTGCGTCAGGTCGCATCGGCATGATAATCCCTCCATAGTATTTCTGCAGTCTTTCCAATTCTCCCATCCAACTCGATCCAGGGCAGGCTCAAGAAGCGATCGAGAGAAATCGACCTCTCTCTGCTTGGTTAATCCAGGCCAAGTAGTTTCGAGGACCTTCTTTTCTCCTTTCTCATTCCAAGATCGTTTCTTAGAGTGGCTCTCCCGGAATGATTCTAGCCTCCGGTTATAATCAATTCCCGCGAGATTTCCCTCAACTCGAAATTCTGGAGTTCTACGAGCGTCGCTGTGTTGGAACCGGGGCCGGTTTCGGAGCTCCTTGAATCTTATTTTGCTCCAGAAGCTCCGATTCTCTGCGTGTGACTCAGGGCAACAGAGTTCTCCGGTGCCGCTTCGAGCCTGTCCCTGCCTCGATATTTGGATTGTGAGGCTGCTATTTTTGCGAATGTTATCGACATTGTGATCGTGTTCTTCGAGTCTTCTCTCGGAACACGATCTGGGAGGAAGAACGGCGATCGGGAACTTCTCCTCTGTGCTCGCCGGTAGAGACGTGTTTCGTGGACAGAAACTACTCAAGACATCGGCGGTTAGATCGTCGCAGACGTGCAAGTGCTTGTGCTGTGAACTCTAGTGGCGGGCCGCGACTGTTGCCGTTGCTGTTTTGGGTTAGTGGTGAAATCGTTTGCACTGCTGCTGCAGCGGTTCCTGTTGACATTGTTGTTGACGTTGCCGACCATTCACCGCGCGATTTGTGGTCTGAAGCGTTTCGAGAAGGAGGATCAAAGTCGATCGATTGGCCGTCAGCTCGGCCACTAGCCGACTCGATCCACCGTCCGGTGCTGCGTTAATCCGTTGATGCCCTGACGTGGACGTTTTCGCTCACGGCGTGGGTGTCAATCAGTGTGGATACACGGGTGGACGAAGTGACTGCCGCCCGTGCGCCGGGCTGCCTGCGCGAACGACCGACCAGCCAGCCCGCCGGCTCACTGAGTGGGGAGTGCGACCGGCTACAGGGGAAGGGAAAACTCTGTCGCTCGCTTTCGACGACGACGGCGGTGCTTCGCTGCCGGTGGATCATCGGCATCTAGTTCGCCTCGATCATGGAGGAGACGTTTCTGGATTTGGTGTCTCGATGGCTAGGCTACATCGCCTTAACCTGGATCACGTATCTGATCTACCTGGCGAGCGGTGTGTCAATTGCCGATTGTCTTTCGGCCATCTTCAGCCCGAAAAAAGCCGAAGCTCCGGAAATCCAAGTGATACCCGCCACTCCCAGCACACCCGACAAGAGCTTCAACAAGTTCGAGCTGCCGCCAAAGCAAGCCACCGTGGAAACGCCGAAGAAGAGCTCCGGAGACAAGAACACCGCTCAGGGTGCGGAGGGATCAGTCGACTTCGTACTCGACGCGCCGAATCGCAGGACGAGAAACTCGGAAAACACAGATCTTTGTGCGACGGACGTCGTGACGTCAGAGTGTACAGAAAGTGCGGCTTATTCGGCTGAGACTTCGGCGGTGCTGGCCGCAGCGGCCTCCGCGACTTCGGCGGTACTGCCAACGACTTCGGCTTCGGATACGAGCGATCCGACGACGAGGTTCAATGTGACGAGGTGCTCGTTCTCGGTGGAAAAGCTGCAGACGCTGCCGAGCATCAAGATCCTCAAGCCAGAAGACGTGTGTCCTCCAGGGACCCTGATCAGCGGCGGATTACCAGAGTCTGGTAATAATGACTCTACCAACAGTGATTCTGATCCCAGCCCTCCCACTAACACACACTCAACGTCAGAGCATTCGACTATAGTAACAGAGTCTCATTCCCAGAACTCTAATACCGGCGATGGGACGTCAACAACGACAACAGCAGCAGCAGCACAGAATGGGCGTCGAACAGGCGGAGATGACCTTCTGGTCAAGATGCTAAGCGACATCGACCAGGTCGACGTTTACTCCGATCTAAAGAGACCCCGGCCCAGCATCGACGAGAGCTTAGTGGCGTCGACAGACTCGGTATTGCTCTCCAGCACCGACCAACGAGAGCTCTTGCTCGACGAACAGAAGCAGAAGAATTCACCGGCGCGTAAGCACAAAAAGCATAAAAACCAATCACTGGCATCGGAAAAGTTGGTCCGATTCGCGCTGCCCAATGGCCCGGCTCCCTGTTCTGGAAACAGCTGCTCTGAAGACGACGATGAAGTCCGAGAGAGTCCGGATTCAGACGACGAAGACTCCGCGGGATCGCCGTCAGTTTTACGAAAGACGTCGTCGCGCGTAACAGACTCTTCGACGCAGCATCCACATTCGGCTTCCCCGTTGCTTGAATCGCTGCTCAAGGATCTGAGCGACGAAGCCCTCGACGAGTCAACGGCTCACATCGATACCAACAACGTTCTCGACGCCCTGTTGTTCCAAACCAGACGGCGGCGAAGTCTACCGACGGTGCAGTCGCCCGGCGGGGATTACGAGATGGTCTATCGGGAAAAACTCGAACGCCAATCTCTAGGCGATTCGATTTTAATTGATGACACGGGATCGATGACGCCCATGAAGTTCAAGGCAACTCTGAACGAGGAAGATTTCACCGACTTGTTGCCACCCCTTAGCCCGGACTGCGGTTATGACTCGCTCTCAGAAATGGTTTCTAGTCCCGATGAATATGATTGCTACGGATCGGCGCCGCAATTGAGCGTCATTGTTGAAGATCCTCTCGAAGAGGAAAAATTCATCTCGAAGAAGCAAACCCTAATACAAAACGGCGACGCAACGGCGCAGCCACTCGTAGCAGAGGGGAATGTCCTCCAAACGGTGAAAGCCCCGCACGATGTTGTCGATGGGAAAACTTCAAACGCCAAACATTTCCTGGCCTCTGCGGAGGAGCTCGACAATTTCACCACGGTCAGATTGTAATTCTTAGCTCTTTATCGTAGAATTCTTAGTGATACGTTTAAAGTCGATGGATAACTCGTGAGGATTACGAACGAATCGAGTTTCAAATGCGTCGGCTTCAGGCGGGCTTCCGTCTGGCTGGTCGATTTTAAGAAAAAAATCTCTTGCCCAGGTGGCCAGGGGAAAAGAGTCCGAAAGTGCGTCCGAAGATACATGACGTGGAATAAAGAAGAGTGATTTTATCTGCGAGGAGATATTCGTTGGGGGAGAAACATACCTCTGCGATACAAAGTCGCTAGCGATCATCTTGCGGAAGGGGAATCGTTTTTATGGGCGATTGAATTACGGGTGGAGTATTTCTGGTATTGCCGAAGTCGCGCGGTACAACTCCTGGGCGTATCTGATCAGAAGTGTCGAGAAATCATTTGATGCTTTGAAGGGGGGTCATTCTTTTCGGCAGCTCGAGTGCTGATTTCGACTCGAGTGTACGCTTCATGACGAACTTCTGTGGTTTCTATCGCACCGAGCCAAGGAAAAATCCGGACTGGTGACGACGACATTGCACTCGAGAGTAACCTTTGGCGGTCTCTGAGGTCGCGGTCGATCGCAATGGTTGACGGCTCCGCGTTATTTGACAATCGAGTCTTGTTTCGGAAGCAGTGGATACAGGAATGAGAACATTCAGACAGGACTTCGGATTCGGAAATGAAAACACAGTCTTCAAGAGCAGCAAAATTTACGGCGAGAAACTCTTGGAAACATAGTTTACGACCCGTGTATAATCGAGGCGAGCCAACAGACAGCGATGATATCACAGGTGTTCCATATTAGGGCAATGCAAGTTTTGATTCTGGCTCCTAAATTCCTCATCATGAGTCAAGCGAATTGAGCCAGATGGGACCGACTCAATGAGAAAGATGATGCCAGCCTGAATCAGGAGTCGATACAGTTTCTCGATTATGATTTGCGAGCGTCGGGTTCTGCAAAATCTAATTTACCTTCTGATAACCGACGCAACGACTCTCCGATAGCGTGCCGAGTCCCTGAAGTCATTCCTGTCGCGGGAGGGAATCCTCTCTCGATCATTAGCCGTGTTCGTCTTGGTAGGATTTTTTCCGCTCATCCATTTTCAGAGACGCGGGTTTACGGTCTCTATCCAAAAACATCATGAATTGTTCAAGTTGACGAAGATGACTGCCTCTATCGAGGTGCTAAATAGCTACGGCGCGGCATTCCTGAGATTTAATTCAGGTCTTTCTGAGCCGTTGAGCAAACAATTCTAAGCTCCGCTCTTTTCCCCAAATCCTCGGTCTCATCGCGGACATCGCGATACGAAAGGCTTATGACACCTCAATTCCGTTTCCTAGGTTCTCGAGCCTCACAGAATGCCTGCAAAAAAAACGCGGTGACAGATATCAGCAGCCGAACAATATGTGGCTCCTGGCCTCGCTAATGGCCATTCCTTGGAATGAATCGCTCCTATTTTTCCTCATCTCTCGTAGGGAGATCGAGGCGCGTAGTCGCTGTGGACAAAAAGAGAGGATTCCACGAGGGGAAAAGCCGGGTTCGCCACGGTTGGAGGGAACCGAGAGGACAAAGGGGCATAAACTCTGCGAGCGTCCAAACTCTCTCGCTCACATTCGCTCGTTCTCCTGAGAGTGGCGAAAGCCAGTGAGCTCCTCAGCTGAGGGTGGCGCGAGTGGCGGCTGCTTCGTCCCGCGGCTTACCCACGTGACGCATAGCGATGACTCATAGCCGACCACCAGACCAGGGAGTCGGAGTCACGCAGGAGCGGAGCTGGGGGTCGAGTCACACTCTGAGGGGTCGACGCATGCGTCATCCTTGCCAGGAGTGGAAGAGGGTCTGCATCGATCGATGGTGGACGCCAAGAGCGCCACATCGTCCTCGGATCAGAGCCGGCACCCACGCCAGGCTCACTGTAGTCGTGAGTGGTTAGTGAATTGTTGTGAGGTTTCGAAGCCGGCGTATGCGCGCCGTACGAGAAGGATAGCGACAGGAGACCACCAGAAGGATGGTCACCAAAGACAGCGACAACAAGGAGAACGCTCCTGGCGAAAAGCCGCCCCAGGTACGCCAAGTTTGTCGAGGGATGTCGAGCGACAGCGGGTCAGACTGAAGGCTCGACTCCAGGCTCAAACGCCAGACGCACACAGTTCACTCGGGAGCGGAACTCTCTTAAGCCTAACGTCCTGGCGCCGTTATGCCGTCGTCCTATTTTTAGCCGCAAGGTCTCTATGTGAAAGTTTAACATTCTCCATCTCTCTGTTGACCGCTCCATCGGATTCAGAGGATTTTGGACAGAGGTGATTCGGGTTATTTGTTGCTCTCCCGCCGGTCCATCGGATCGGCTCCGGGACAATGTGTAGCGAAGCCGTACGATTCCTTGAGCGACATGCCGGGGAGTAACGATTCCTCCAAGATTGTATCGGAAGAGTATGCTCCTTGATCTAGAATGATTGAGGGGTCTCTCCGATTCAGGGACCCCTGTCTCGACATCCTATCTCCGGAGTCCCCCGAAGACATATCGGCTCGGAATCGATGGAATAAATTAGTCAATAATTTAGTCGCGATGCGGAAAGCTGAGGATCGGCGGATATTCCGACTTGCTCCCAGCTGTCCGGATCAGATTTCGATTCCTCTCAACGACTCAGTCTTCAATCGGCTGCGAACTTCTGGGATCGCCTATCAGGGATAATGCTCCTGGTCTTTATCCTGTTTCACAACGTCCCGACAGTGTGCGGTCGCTCTGGGGCATGAGAGATCGATCAATCTACTCTCCGGGGTCATGCCAGACAAAGACAATAGGAAATCGTGCAATCCCGGTCATCGGTGTAGCACCTGTACTCTCGAGAAGACTCTCGCAGGCCATCTGGCGCCTCAGCAGCGGCATCGCTGGCGGCGGCAGCGGCGGCGGCAGCTTTTGGACTCCGGGTTGGCTGGCTCGCTCTTTGCCAGCCAGCCGACGAATAACGAAGAGGACGCCGTGGAGCCAGGCTTCGCTCCTCAAGGCAATGTTCGCAAGGAATGTTCTCTCATTCAGCTCGTATGGGATTCGCGTTTTGGGAGCGGACGATTCCTCTCCAGAGCGGACATCCAGTGGATCTCTTGCGTGGAACCGGTTCGAATCGATTGAGCTCGAATCAAGGGGAATTTGAGGACCGGTCCCGATCGCAATTTTGTCCCTCCCCAGAGAATATCGTGATTCCCATGGGTTTTTGTTCCTGCGAAAGTTTCTCGTCACCGGGAATAAAGTATTTTCCTTCCTCGGGGCGCCGGCTCGGAGTTGCTGCTCGAAGGCAATCCGCGAGCATGATCGGCGTCTCGAATCAGAGGAAAACGGGGACTGTCGACTTGGAAGGCTCTCTGAGAAGTGCTCCAACCGGAGTTCATCCGGATTGCAGGGCGTGGTCAGGTATTCTAGCTCTTCTCAATTTCTATCATCGCTCGGGGGCGACGACATAGGAGTCGCCAGGCAGTCGAGCGATCCGAACGCTCTCCGGTCAACCACACCGGGAGAGTTTGCTGATGCTGTCGAAACTACCCCGTTCAGAACACCATTGGGGACGACTCACTCACGACATCTATTTGCGATCGAAAGGTCCATTTGTGGAGAAACTACTCATCCACTCACATCGCTTGGTTCCGGGTCTGCATCACCAGATCATCAGGAATGACGATGACCGGAGCAAGTACCTCTCGATCGTCAAATTCTGTCCCATCATTCGAGCTATCATGTTTTCTGAGTCGGATCGATCCCGGAAAGACTACCGAAAATGGCGGAATTATTGATCGGGTTTTCGGAATTCATGACAGGCGATCCGAGTCTGTCGAAAAAATACGGCTCGACGATGGCTCATCGCTTCCGTGATGTAGAGTGACTTGACACAACCTTATCGATCTGATAGTATCGTGAAGCGTTTCTAGATCAGCTGTCGGCCAGCAAAAAGGCGATCCGTGCGCTGACTCACTTGGCAGCTTCTCTCTGAGGGAAGGGAGTCACAGGGAAGCATCGGCAGCAGCCCCACCGAGTCGGGGAGACGGAGTCGGGACTCGGGTAAGCGGAGCGCCGAACCGGAGGGCGAACACGGCTTCGAGGGGGGGTACATTTGAGGTAGATGCATGAGTCAGCAACACGTGACTCGAGCCTTTAAATGATACAACTGGTCCAGTTGTCTCCTAGGCTACCAGTTCGAGAGTCTGGGTCGGCAAGCGAGCGAGTGTGTGAGTCAAACACCGCTGGTTCTACCGACGAAAGAGCTCGGAACCATTGATTAGCGCTCGAAAGATAGATGATACGGCCGAAAATTAGACTGCTCTCGTTTTCCTCCATTTTCATGATCGGCATATGGGCCTGGCTCCGATGTCGGCGACTTGGAGTATTCTTCGGGAAAACGCTCCCGCTGACGGTAGCCGAACTCGTGCGAGGAATCAAGAACGGGGACGGGCAGGAGACACTACGCGCCGGCTCAATTTCCCGAGGGAAAAAATTAGGAGAGTCACGACAAGTAAAGCGCTGGGCGGTTGTGGGCGTTGGTCAACTTGGAGAGCCCGGAAACTCCGCCTAAACCTGTAGAGAACCGCACATTTTATGTCGGGACAGTGCTGTAAAAAAGATGCGGTAGTCGAGTAGGACGACGGGACTCCAAGCCGAGCTTTCATCAATCAAATCCTCAGGAGACTCGCTGTGACTCCGCTGAAAGTGTTTTTCAGCGCGCACCGTACCGCCTCATGGCGTTCCACGACGTCGGCAGCTCCTTGGCCTTGACGGCGTGACTCACGGAAATAGTTTCGTACAAAGCTACGTTTATGCTCATAATGCCCAATTGAGCTCCAAAGCTCCGGTGCGACTAACGGATTCGTTTGCGATTCGAAGCACGTAGCCTCGCAGGTCAACTGTGAAGGTCGACTGAAACGCGGGATTCTGAGGGCAGGGCTGCGATGTTGCTCGAAGAAGGGTGTGGCCCCAGTCGTATGGGGAACCAGCCTAGGTGCGTTCGAAGGCATATAAAGCTGGATCTATCCGTTGGTTTCGGCAGACCGATCCGTCGATCGGAAAGTTCTCGCAGCCAGAACGTCAATCATAACTCTGACTGCAACACCATTACGCTTGTCTCCGACATATCTTCAGATAGATCGGATGAGCGTAAATCATAGCCTCAAATCGAACGCGGGGTTTGAGATCGATGAAGCTAAGCGCCGAAGAAGAAAGAGTAGAAGCAGCAATTATCGCAGCTGTTCCGCAGGCCGACTCGGAATAGCCTCTAAGTCGATCTCGGCGAAACCCCTGTTGAGGACAAATTCACGGAGTCGGACGTCATCGCCCGTATCCATAACAACGGTAATGAATCCGAGAGCATCTGCCACGTAATTGCACGAGGCTTCTCGACTCAGCGCTCCTTGGGCTCATTCCACACATGATGGCGGACAGAGTTGCATGAGAAACATGCCTCGGCTATGTCTCGGGTGGGGTTCTTGGGGGTTCTAAAAGTTTCGCTAGGGTGGGAAGATCAGAGAGACTAAATGCCGGGAGATCCGCACGCGACGAACGGAAGATGGCGAGCCCGGTCCTTGTCCGAGTTAGCAGCTGACGGAATGACTGACTGGATAACAATGCCGGTCTATCAATCTAGATAGACAGATGACAGATGGGATGGTACGACGTTCGGGGGAGAGACAAAGGAGAAGAATGACAGCGATTCATATCGTTAGCGGAGCCCAGGTCGTCTCCCAATCGAAGGAAGAACCCGGAGGGTTTTTCAATGATCCCGCACACGATCCTCCGGATCCCGGCCTGGACTCACGCGAGGGCTCTCTAGTTAGTCCGTGACTGTCGCCGGTCGACTCTGACTTGATCCGTCTTTGTTCGCGGGTGGAACAACCCGATGGTAGATCGTGTTAGCGTCTCACTCCTTGCCAGCCGGATTACCGTGAGCCGCAGTAGCGCCGGAGAGTCTACCGGAGACTTTGATCCGACAGCGCAACGGACCGCTTTGTCAAAAGCCTGTGATGTGCCGCGATCTGTTCAGGGCTGAGTTTGAGTGATTCACCGTGTTGTTCGAAATGTCACAGAAGTGAGGCGGGTGGGGCTGTTCGTGCTGATAACGTGTCGAGGGTCAGCGCCGAGGATGATGGTGACGATCTCAGTCGGAAGTGAAGTCGGGGAGCCCATCCTATTTGTCTAGTTTTCTTCAACTCACCCTAACAGAGTAGAACGACCGCAGCGATTCCCTGGAGTTCAGCAGCCTCTGAACACCACTGTGGAGTCGCGATGGACTACAGCTTCCTCTTCGCGCAGCCGACGATTTCGCCGCGTGTACGTGCGATCATCGTAAGAACCCAACTGGGCAGGAGCTGCCCACAAACTAACTTGTGCACCTTGTGCCGGATGCGTACCGCACCGGATGGCGCTAACGTTGCAGCAATGCTAAAAATAACCATGCTGCTATAGAAACCGGGTCCTGTCAGGGGGGCTAACAGGTCCTCCGGGGCTGGGTGGGACAGTTGAAGTGCGGTGGGAGGAAGCGGAAGGACCTGTTGGGCTCCGATCCCGACGAAAGACTTCGAGCATTCGGTCGCTCGGAGCGACGGAAGAACTCCTCCCGGGTCCCAGTCTCAGCCGCAGCCCGGCTTTCAGCTTCCGCTCGTGCGCGAAGTGATGATGCGTGACGGACGATGTTGGAGTCCGAAGAAGGTGGTGTCACCACAGCTTGACCGGCTCGCGATCGAGGATCCCCAGAGTTCTAACCCTTCGTCTCGATTTTACAGATTGACAACAGCGCGAGCTTCTTGCGCGCCGCCAGGGCAGGGAACCTTGAGAAAGTACTCGAGTACCTCAAGGGCAGCATCGACATCAACACAAGCAACGCCAACGGTCTGAACGCGCTCCATCTCGCGTCGAAAGAAGGCCATGTGCTCGTCGTCAAGGAGCTGCTCCAACGAGGAGCTGAAGTCAACGCGGCCACCAAGAAAGGCAACACGGCTCTGCACATAGCATCGTTGGCCGGCCAGGCGGACGTCGTACAAGTTCTCGTGGAAAAGGGCGCCAACGTAAACGTGCAATCCCAGAATGGCTTCACGCCACTCTATATGGCAGCCCAGGAGAACCACGACGCGGTCGTGCGCTTTCTACTGGCCAATAATGCTAACCAGAGCCTCGCGACCGAAGACGGCTTCACCCCGCTAGCCGTGGCGTTGCAGCAGGGCCATGACAAAGTCGTGGCCGTCCTGCTCGAAAACGACGCCAAAGGGAAGGTGCGTCTGCCCGCGCTGCACATCGCAGCTAAGAAGGACGACACGAAGGCTGCCGCCCTACTCCTGCAAAACGAACACAACCCCGATGTAACTTCGAAATCAGGTTTCACACCTCTTCATATTGCGGGTGAGTTGCGCATATTTGTGCTCACTGATCTGGGACTATCCCGTCGATACGATATTCTCGGTTTCAATTTTGATTCTTGCGAAATTGATTTCGTCTAATTTCGGATCTTTCTCCCCAGCGCACTATGGAAACGCGAACATCGCAGCGCAGCTCTTGGAGAAAGGAGCCGACGTCAATTTTCCAGCCAAGCATAATATTTCCCCGCTACACGTAGCAGCCAAATGGGGTAAACAGAACATGGTGAAACTTTTGCTCGATAAAGGCGCTCAGCTCGACTCATCCACACGGGTAAGTGTTCCCGTCGATCCTGGGAAGGGGGAGGGGTTGGGGGGCGAGAACGTTCATTTCGACTATCTATGTAGCCATAAGTCGTGCTTCCGAAGCCGTCGCTGGACGTGAACGGCGAGCACCGTGGTTAACTCACAGCGGTCCAAGCAGCCTGCGTAAGGGGAACGATTCACTATTCAATCGTCTCTCGATTCAACTCGTTAAAACCAGTATTTGATTCATCGCAGGACGGTCTCACCCCTCTGCATTGCGCTGCTCGAAGCGGTCACGACCAAGTCGTCGATCAGCTGATTGATAAGGGTGCTCCGATCACTGCCAAGACGAAGAACGGACTCGCGCCCCTACACATGGCCAGTCAAGGAGATCACGTGGAGAGCGCAAAGATTCTTCTAAACCATAAGGCGCCCGTAGATGACATAACTGTCGATTATTTGACCGCGCTGCATGTTGCCGCGCATTGCGGTCATGTCGGTGTAGCGAAGCTGCTTCTCGACAAGAAAGCCGACGCTAATTCGCGTGCGCTCAACGGTTTTACTCCGTTGCACATTGCATGCAAGAAGAACCGCATCAAGGTTGTGGAGTTGCTCCTCCGTCACGGAGCATCCATCGAAGCGACCACCGAGGTGAGTACAGACAACTTTTCCTCGAGCTCGCTGAGGACGCGGCGTGGCCTAGTAGAGTCAATCGAGTCCGACGTCACGTTTCTCAATAAGCATTCGTCAAGTAATTAGCCTTTGTCGATTCGATTCCAGTCCGGATTAACGCCGCTGCATGTGGCCTCTTTCATGGGTTGCATGAACATCGTGATCTATCTCATCCAACATGGCGCTAACGCCGACGTACCCACGGTGCGGGGCGAGACGCCTCTACACCTGGCAGCTCGAGCGAACCAAACCGACATCGTGAGGATTCTCCTCCGGAACGGCGCTCAGGTTGACACCCGGGCTCGCGAGCAGCAGACCCCTCTACACATCGCAGCTCGGTTGGGTAACGTCGACATCGTCTGTTTGCTACTTCAACACGGAGCTAACGTCGACTCCGCGACCAAAGACCAGTACACGTCGCTGCACATCGCCGCCAAGGAGGGCCAGGAGGACGTCGTCAACATGCTCCTCGAACACGGAGCGTCGGTGACCGCCGCAACAAAGAAAGGCTTCACGCCACTGCATCTCGCCGCGAAGTACGGTCATCTCAAAGTGGGCAAGCTGCTCCTCCAGAGAGATGCGCCCGTCGACGCTCAGGGCAAGAACGGCGTAACTCCGTTGCACGTTGCCGCCCATTACGATTACAACAACATCGCCCTCCTCCTACTCGAACGAGGGGGCTCCCCGCACGCCGCTGCCAAGAACGGATATACCCCGCTGCATATTGCCGCTAAGAAGAATCAGATGGATATCGGAACTACGCTTCTGGAGTACGGCGCCAAGACGAACGCCGAATCCAAGGCAGGCTTCACTTCCCTTCATCTTGCGGCACAGGAGGGTTTCGCCGACCACGCAGCGCTCCTCATCGAGCATGGGGCTAACGTGAACGCCGCCGCCAAAAACGGACTCACGCCCTTGCATCTCTGCGCTCAGGAGGACAAAGTCAACGTGGCCGCCGTCCTGGCCAAGAACAACTGCCAGATCGATCCGATGACAGCTGCAGGCTACACACCACTGCATGTCGCCTGCCATTTCGGTCAGACGAACATGATAAAGTTCCTCCTGCAACATGGCGCCGACGTGAACGCAGCCACCACGCAAGGCTACACGCCCCTGCATCAAGCAGCCCAACAGGGACACGCCATCATCATAAATCTGCTTCTCGAGAACAGAGCCCAGCCCAACGCGACGACGAAGGTGAGTCGGAAACATGGCTTCCACCTCAAAGTCATGAGTTCTCCTCTCTCTGTATTTGCCCCGGAGCTATCCGGATCCCCGGACGCTCGGGGCATCAGCTGCAAAGCCGATGCGAGCGCGGACGTTTCGAGTGATTGTGAGGAACGTGAAATATTTTTCACGGAGGAGATCGCCGGTCAAGCTTTCATTGGCTGCTACTGGCTGTCGGGATCCGCGGCGCTCCTAGTTCCGATGTCAAATCCGGTAGAACGATGGTAATCAACGGTTTCCTTCCGCACAGTTTGCTGTGACAATACACGACGGACGGGCCGGCCGGCTGGCCAATTGAACACTCGTCGTAGTTGGAGAACATGCTTGTCCAATTTATGGACTCCCGCCATGTCTACGCTAGGGACGCAGGGAATGCTCTCTTTACACGATGCTCCCCGATTAAAATCTTGGTGGACTTTCCGTCGGCGGGGACACTGCGAGCTCGCAAAAGGCGAGCTTCTCTAGCTTCCCCTGAGTTGAATACTCCATGGGAAGTGTCTGGAAATCTATTCGAGGACCGAGGGTCGAGGCTCTCTGATGAGCCGATCCACGCTGAGGTTTCTCAACGTCCTCGAGACTCAGATCACTCTCGGCTGCAATCGAGAACGATCCGGACTGTTACCAAGTCTACCGAGAAAAAATCGTCCACAGTGGCAGGGATTCATTTGAGCCACGAAATTTGTTGTCGAACAGGAAAAAAGGGCTGGAATTCCCATCGAATCCTACACGGTGCCCCCTTATGACTCGTTACATGGTCTCGTCCCTTGACGATCGCGCAAAGAAAGACCCCGCCTTCACCAGGGCCGTCGTCGGTGAAATACGACTAACGAAAATGAGAGACCAGATGACGAGTACGGTAGTCGAGATTGAAGCGTTCTCACTCCTTTCACCATGCGAGCGAGTGAATTAGACTGATGGAAGAGCTCTGTCGACCAAAAGTCTCTTGTGCCCATGTCTCGGAATGTGAACAAGAAACGACCGGCGCGTCGGTCACGCCATGCAGTGTTGCTGACAGACTTTTCGTTTCTCCATTTAGCGAGTTTGTCCGTCGGTCGGTCGGTCGCTCGCTCGCTTGGTCCATCCTTGTCATCTATGCGAGATAGAAAGACCACGAGAGGGCGCTTTTCTGCGGCCTCTGTCCACTTGTTATTATGTCCAGTTGGTGTTCTCTACCGTAGGAGACTCGGGAGCAACGTGGACTGAGATTCCGAGTGACGAATAGTTGTACCGACTGATTGCGGCTTCCAACGTAAGCAACGCAGACGCGTTCATTCCAAACTCCCATCTATGATGTTCCTCTCCTGTCCAAGAATCTTTCACCGGTTGCCGTCGAAGGAAACCCCCACGCAACATCTGAGCGTATGACCAAGGCTCGTGAGGTAGACACGTTTCGGGTCGGTCTCGCTTCATTTCCTCGTCATTTTCTTTTCGCGAGGTATTTACGAAGCCTGTCGCACCGATGGACTCATAGTGCCGGCTCGACCCGAAAGTTTGTGTGAGCTCCGCTTTGACGTTTTCACGTTGGAGAAAACGCATTCCCGGACCGTTGTCGTGAGGTTTGGAAGAGGAAACTTTTTTTCGGTCCCTCTCGGGCACGGATCCGGATCTATTGGGAAAAAAATGACGGTTCCAATCTTTCCTCGCTCTTCGAATAATACAGAGGGAAATTGCGGCTCAAAGATGAAAACTCGTCTTTGCTGTCAAGGCCGGTGACCGACGGCTAGCTCGTCGCCGGCACGGCGTACCGACTCGGTGATGCGGCAGCTCTACAGTGTCTTTCTACGAATGTTTACGTGCGGGCATCTTACCGTGGCGGTGGCAGAGCCAATCCGTAACGGAGCGAGGGTAGACCTTCGTCGTCTGGTTAGCCCTCCACGACCGCGCCAAGCTATGGCTGCTGCTTTAGACAGGTTGTCTGCGTCTCTCCGAGTGGCTGGTCCGCTCGCGTCAGAGCTATGGCATGCCTTGGATCATCCACCCCGTTTGGGGCCCTATCAGGGTAAATGTTTCGAATGTGACTTGGCATCGGTCATCAGCGGGGAATCTGTTCAGATTGTGCATGGAGCGCGAATGACGAAAACTGAGGGACAAACGCCATCGCTTCGGATTTTGTTCAGTGGGCCGTACGCGGATCTAAGGGTGACGTGATTCGACCCTGACCTACGTCCAGAGGGTCTCACGAACTTTCTGGCCGCCGGAATTCGGCTCGGAAGATTCTCTTGTCAGGAGGAGCCGGATTCGAAAATTCTGCTGTCCAGCCTGGTGGCTTCACAGATGGATGGCCGAATCAGACGAAGTCGGGGGAGGTCGAAAATGCGATGGCGGAAGTTGCCGAATGTCTCGATCACGACCTCAACGACGAAACTCTCTCGTTTTACAGCAAGGACAAACAGCGCTCTCTATCGCTGAGAGGCTCGGATACATCTCAGTGATCGAGACCCTCAAAGTGGTAACCGAAACCACCGTCACCACAACGACCACTGTGGTCACAGAGGAGAAATACAAAGTTGTCGCCCCCGAAACCATGCATGAGACCTTCATGTCCGACAGTGAAGATGAAGCCGAACAGGACAACATGATGGGTGACCATTCCTTCAAATATCTCACTGGTGAGTGCGATTCGGGTGTCAGTCAGATATACGGTGGGGGGAGGGGTAGTTCAGCTTTCCGGAATTTCTTCGCCCGCAACGGAGGCTATCAAGGCTCTGACCCCAGAGGTAATCAATTCCAGCTGACGAGATGAAATCCCTCGGAGACGATTCGCTTCCAATTGACGTGACAAGAGATGAGAAAGCACACGAAGCCCATGTGGCCCACATGGCCCAGCAAGCAGGACACATCGCCCCATCTGCCGTCGAAGAAGACCGCCTCTCTCCATCGCACCTCGACAGCTCCTTCGCCAAGGCGGCTCCCGACAATGTCGAGGTCAAGCGAACTCCGGTTCATGCCGGGTATGTTATCTCGTCGTCGAAGCATTGGTTTCTTTTACGTGAACGATCTGTGATAGTTGATTCGAAAGAATCTTTTGAAGTGTATGCGCTGTGTGCTGAGGAACGGAGCTATATCGAATGTTCGTCGGGTGTTTATGTCTGATAGATCGTATCGATTTCTTCATCATACTTCTTCTTCGCCTATTTTCCAAATCATACTCAATTCGCAACAGCCCACCCCCTTCGAGCGTCGTCCTAGTTTGTAGAACCTTGATCGACCAATGAATCAACCAGACTGCTCCATTTATTTATACAATAGATAGTCGAAAAGCATTCTGCATCGTCTCAAGATCGGTCCCACTCCCTTTCCCTACCGTTTTTCGCTCCATAAACTCCGAGGCTCGATTCTCAGATCTCTCGAATAGTGTTCGTTTTTTATTCGATCCTCTCTTGTCCCTGATATCATTTCTCTTATCGTTATCGCATCACGATGGGCGCTTGTCACGTCATTAGCTCAAGAAAGGATTTATCGCCAAAGGAAAGGCGGAGCCTGAGAATATCCGCCGGTCAGGGATGTTTCATTCATCACCTGAATAGCATGTATGACTCACATTTAAGTTTCTGTTCGATGGCTGTCTGCGTGGCTGCGTCATTTATCGAGTTTCAGTACCACTATATTTTCGGTTCGATTCGCTTTGTTGCTGATGTTCATTGAGTAGCGTAGATTTGTCGTACTCAAGAATCACAGAAAGACTCGAACCGTCGAGCCGACGGTGTTGCTCGTCAAAATTAACAGTCACTAACGGAACTTTACGTTCTCGCATCCATGCCATAATTAGTGGTGAAGGAAAACTAAAGTGGAAAACGTAAGTATCGTGTTCGAACGAAGCAAAAGAGTGAGGAGGAGAGAACGCTATTCATAATGACAAAGCTCTGGAACTTGCACCCCCCACGACGCACAAAGAATTTCTGCCACCGAATGCCTATGCACCGCCGAACGCTGCACAGCCCATTAAAACTTACTGTCGCGAAATTCTCCGATATTATATCTTTCCCTGAACCCCCGTGATCCGCGAGCCACGGGCCACGGCCCGTAGACTCCATTCTCTCGGAGCCCTCGCCGTCCTTGGCTCCAGGGGGCGCTCGAGTTCTGCGAGGTCTTCTGTGTACTATGACTTCACCGACGCACCGAGCGACCGAGTGACTGACTGACGGAACAGCAACAGCGATCCGTCAACAAAGTCTCTCCCTCTCTCACCACAGCTGTGCTGGCCAGAGGAGCTGTTGTGTTCTGGCGGCTCTGTCTGCTCTGACGACTCTGCCCCAGTCCCTGTATTTGATCCAAGTTATCTCGAGTCTCCCTCTCTATCGACTTTAAGGGAATCGAAACCCGTGCGATAGTGGAGAGCATCCCGCCGAAGCCAGTTCGCTCGTGTATCGAGTCAGGCAATCGAGCAAACCGAAATGGAACTAAACGCCTAGCCGCGCTCTACCCTCTCCGTTTTCTGTTCCGACGTGGAGTGGACCACGCCCGGGCTACTTGTCACTTCATATTTTCTGCTCGCTTCGAAGCGAGCGCCGTGCATTTCGCTACTAGTGCTGAAATGTGTCAGAAAAGTGCTTCAGAATTAACTGAAATGGATCCTCGCCACAGGTTCCTTGTGAGCTTCATGGTAGACGCCCGTGGTGGAGCTATGCGAGGCTGTCGCCATTCGGGCGTACGTGTCATCATACCCCCGCGCCGTGCTACCATGCCGATGCGTGTTACGTGCCGATTCATACGCAAGGAGAAACTTTCCCACCCGCCGCCGCTGATGGAGGGTGAAGCCTGTGCAGCTCGTGTCATCGAAATGGGTCCCGCGGGGGCTAAGTTCCTCGGGCCAGTTGTCATCGAAGTTCCGCACTTCGCCTCACTCCGGGGCAAGGAGCGTGAGATTGTCATCCTGCGCTCCGATAACGGAGAGACCTGGAAAGAACACACTTTGGAAGCGACAGAAGACGCGGTCTCCGAGGTTCTCAACGGAAGCTTTGATGCTCAAGGTGAGTCTCGAATTTTCGCAGAAACGTATCGATGTGTCCGCAAAGTCGCAAATATCGGTACAGGACAACTGGGCCAAAACCAACTGGGCCAAGAACCAACTGGGCCAAAAACCAACTGGGCAAGAAACCAACTGGGCAAAAAACCAACTGGGCCAAAAACCAACTGGGCCAAGAACAAATTGGGCCAAAGACCCAACAGACACGAACAGACACGATCGGAGACAATACCGAGCTCATATTGGCGACCATCGAGAGACGCCTTCAAGCTGTAAAGTGAGTTGAGGGGATGTCGCTCGCACGGCAGCTCGCGACTTGACTTGGTCGCACGAAGATCCGACGTCGATCTCTCCCCGCTTTTGTTGTTGTTGAAGTGAGGAGAGTATTTGTGATCGACTGGTGGACCTCCCGATAAGGATAGACTCTAGTTCCATATTGTCAAGTATGTTCGATCGACTCATCTGGGCGCAACGTGGAATAGGATAAAGATCGTCGTCAGAAAATTAAATTGTATTCGCATAATCCCAGCTGCTTCCTTTCAAAATCAACTAGTCTCTTTCTTTTCTATAATTATCACCAGCTCGATGAGAAATGGAATCCACTTCGGGCGTTACGAGTCAGAGAGGTCAGGAGAAATTGGCCCACGATGGCCATCTCTTTGTCAAAGCATACGTCCTGAAGAGCGGCTTGCAGTCTTGGCGGTGTATGTACAAAACCGCACCGATTCCATGCAAGGCGAGAGCTTATACTCTGATGAGTACGCGGGAAGTTATCCGCACAAGTGGCATCCACTCTGATCCGCCAGATCCCTCAGGTGTAGAGGTCGCCAAAATCACCTCGACGATCAAACGACGTTGCGAAGAAACAAGTGAGGCACCTTCCTCCTTGATTAACACGGCTTTGGTCACAGCGACGACGGCTACGCTCGGTCGCATGAATCGACCCCAGTCGATTTCTCGTCTCATCAATCGTCATCGGAACGCCCGCTCTGCGGCTCCATCGAATCCGGACTCTCGCGGTTCCATTGTCATACCCGAAGCGTACAGGATCTATGAGAGCGAGCCGGGCGTTTCTGAAAATTTCCTGGTGGCGGACAGCGGCGTCGGAGATCCGAATCGGATCTTGGTATTCGGCAGAGAATCGTCGAGCTCCTGGATCGGCCTCGTCGACAAATTGTATGTCGATGGAACTTTCAGTCTCGCGCCGCCGCAATTCTCACAGGTCTCTATTGGTCGATTCCAGAATGATCGAATGTCTTATTGAAACAATTTCAAGCTCCTGATTATTGAAACTCGGATTCAATTGACAGGTGTTCGTAGTCTGGCCGAGCGAGCTCAGTGCGTTGTGCCCGTCGCCTACGCGTTGCTCCCAGACAAAGCAGCCGAATCGTACACTCGGATGCTGAATCTCTTGAAAGAGGCTTGGCCGGCCCTCTGTCCCGCCAGCGTGGTCATGGACTACGAGCGGGCCATGATGATTGCGGTCAGGGCTTGCTTCCCGCCCGAAACACGCATTCAGGGATGCTTCTTCCACTTGGTGAAGAACATCAAACTACGCGTAGCTCAGGAAGGTCTTTGGAGTCGCTATACCAACGATGACGACTTCGCACTGAAAGCCCGAATGATAGCTGCTTTGGCATTCGTTCCGCCGTCAGAGTTAGATAATGCAGTCGCGGAGCTTTCGCCTGTATTGCCGGAAGAGTTGATTCCAGTTCTCAACTATTTCGAGGACATTTACATAGGGCGTATGAACCGGATCCGAGCCGACGGTACCGTAGACCGGAGAACACCGCAGTTCCCGGTCGAGATGTGGTCAGTATACCAGAGAACGCTCGACGGAGAAGCCCGCACGAATAACTATGCGGAGGCGGCACATCGCAGACTCCAGGTTGAATTCGGGATACAGCATCCGACAATTTGGAAGTTCATCGACGGGCTTAAGAAAGTCCAAAAAGGCCGTGACCTACAAGTCGAATCATTCGTAGCCGGCGGTGCTCCTCCAACAAAAAGGACCAAGTACGTTCGTGCAGACGAGCGAATCCTGGGAGTGGTCGAGCGTGCCGAACATCTACAGCATGTAGAATACCTCCGAGGCATAGCTCACAATTTCCTCATGGACGCGTAGTTTCGCTCCCCAGTCCTCAACAGCAAGCGAACTACCACCACGGTCGTTGGTAGTTTTCGCGCAATAAAACTGGGTCGCTGGGCGAGCGAATAACCGAAGGGCCGAGAAAGACAGAGCGCTCACATGATGGCACAAAAGAGTCAAGTGTCACAGCGATTGATTTAAAGAAGACAAAACATGAGTTTTTAATTTAGGTAAAGATCACCCCTTTTTCCGAATTCCTAATCATAGTTTCCGAACAGAGGGCATTTCCAATCGAAACCTATTTCCCGGTCCGATTCAGTCTTGCCCAGTTGGTTTTGGCCCTGTTGGTTTTGGCCCAGTTCGTTCATTTGCCCAGTTGGTTTTGGCCCAGTTGGCTCATTTGCCCAGTTGATTTTGGCCCAGTTGGTTTTTGGCCCAGTTGGTTTTTGGCCCAGTTGTCCGTGTCCGCGCAAATATCGATTCCTTCCCACGGCATACCCGCGCTGGGAGTGGTATCGGCCTCCCAATACGCCGTGAACCTCTTCCGGAGGGCGGACGAATCGTTGTACGCTCAGAGGTCTTCGGAATCGTAACGCGGATCGCCCTCGGGATCGGTCCACGTGTAGGTCCATGGCCTCTGATCAATCACATATTTTTCAACGATGGTCCGAGAACTTTTGGCAGTCTCCGTTCAGTTGGACAAGTATCGATGCTCGCCCGGATTCTGTTTGCCGACATTACCGTAAACGGGTCCTCGCACACGGAATAATTCTTGATTTCACCCATCTGACTCCATCCCGCCGCCGAAGGATGTTTCGTATTTATTTCTGCGAGCGAATTTGGCTGGGATCGGCGATATTTCGAATAACAGGAAGTAACGGAGGGAATATACCATTCGACGGGACCCTGTCGAATTCCATCTGACTTCCCAATACGCTCTCATGTCGAAAACCAAATTACAGCCATAGGAAAAAGTAGTACGGACAGACCAGCTCGCACGAGACATTCGAACGCCAAAGAATCTGTATTTCAACACGGAGCTCCGGGAGATCGGTGCCACGAATACGATCGAGAATCGGTAGTCACCGGGCATCGGCCGTCATCCGAAATTCACTCACCGACGCTTGTGCTTTTCGTCCACAGAACTCAACGCGATGCAAGACTTCAACACGAGCCGAGTTACTCGAATTCTTACGACTGACTTCCCGCAGTTCTTCGCTGTGGTCTGCCGTAACAGGCAGGAAGTGCATTCGATCGGACCCGAAGGTGGAATGGTTTCGTCGACGGTGGTATCGCAAGTGCAAGCCATCTTCCCCGAGGGAGCGCTTACCAAGAAGATCAAAGTTGGACTTCAGGTAAATCACAAAAACCAAAAACATGATTTGCATCTCGCAGACACAGAGACCCTTTCAGACGATCTGAGTTTCATAGCCGAAAAGCCAAGGTTCGGTAGGTACTTCAGTTGTTTACATCCGGCGGCTTCGCCGGTTCGTGGTGTCGCCGAAAAACGGCCCTCAGACAGTACCACGGTAGACATTCGGGACAGTGTCGTGGCATCGAAGCGTCGTTTTTTCAGTAGAAAACCGAAATCCGCGTCGACGACAACGACGGTAATGCGGGTCGAGTTGACCGATGACGTCGATTGTACGAACAACAATATCAGCAGCGTGAAAAAGTCCAAATTGAAAAGCTCACTCCCGTTCGGTAAGCGACGGAACAAATCCAGAAAAGTCTCCGGCACGAGCTCGAGCCCAGCCGCCAGGCACAAACCGGCCGACGAGCAAAGCACCTCAATGCAAGCGATTCCGGAAATCGAACTTTCTCCAGACAACGTGTCCGAGGTCGCGACGGTCATCTGCGAATCTCCGATCAAATCGCACACCGGCGTCAGCTGTTCCACACCGAGACCCAACGGCGACAGCGTCGTAGAAGAATTAGCTATTTCGTTGATGACGTTCCTCAACGACGATAAGGTAGAGGACGACGGTGAGGGGGACAAGGGGAACAGGTCCACTCCTGAGCCCTCACCGGCCAAGGACTCGCAGAATACGTCGCTCCCTTCGAAGAGACGCGCCCACGAATCGCCAGCTGACCATCAGCCGACATCGCCGAAAATGCAGAAGCTCTTCAAGGGTCGAGGGATTCGCAGAAAGAAAGCGTCCTCCACCAAATCGGCCGCCAAGAAATCCGCTGCTCCCGACCGATTAGGCTTCACCGACGAAGTCGTCGAGAGCAAGAGTGTCCACAGTGAGAACCTCGATGTGCCCAACCTCATCCAGACGACTCAGTCGATGGAGAGTATTGACCTCAACTCCGAAACCCAGAGCCGGAAAGAGAGCGTTCCGGAACCGGCGGTCAAGCCTCTTGAGGCCGACGATGTTCAGAACGTCAGTCGGAAGAAAGGTTTCCTGATGCGCTTCGGACGTCATCGGATTCCAGCCGAGGTCAAGAACGCACCCGAGACAGCAGAACCGTCGACTTCAGCGAAAGACCCGCTCGGCGCGGAGTCGCAGAAGACGGACGGCAAGGGCTCGAAGAAGAACGTTGCGGACGGTACGGAAAACGAGAAGAAAAAGTTTTCCATGTCGAAACTGTTCCGGCGAAGAACGATCCACGAAGAAGTCGAGAGTCCGATCACCGCTGCCGGAGACGGTGAGATCGAAGAAGGGGCTGAGCGTCGTCTATGTGAGACCGCTGAAGAGCAACAAGACCCAAGAACGAAAACGGACGATAAAGGTGACGAGGAGGAGCTGCATCCCGAGGAGACGCCGATATCTTTGAAAGACCCAACGGACTCGAAATCCGATCCCAGAAGCAAATCGGACCTCAAGACAGACCCGAGAAGCGAATGCAAATCCGAATCGAAGAGCGAGTCCAAGACGGAGGAGAAATCCGAAGCAGCGGAAAAACCGAAAAAGAAGAAGAAGAAAGTTCTCTTCAGCAGGTTCACCAACCAGAAGAAGAAGACCGGAGAGTCGCCCCGCAAAGATAACGTCGACGGGGAAACGGCTACTTCCGAAGGCGAGTCCAAACCCAGAGAATCCGACGCCGCCGCTGACGAGAAGCCGCCTGAAGAAGCGAAGAGCGAAGCCGAAACCAGCGGCGCGAACCAGGACTCGGGTCATGCGAACTCTTCGGAACAGGCCGATACCGAGCGAAGGGACAGCGAATCCTCGTCGCGCGGTTTCTTCAGTTGGTTCACGGGCTGGCGGAGTGTCGACGATAAAATCAAGGAGGTCCCCGAGAGCTGTTGCGACACGACCGCTGAAAAATCCGAGGCGGCCAAAGATCTCGACCCGAACACCGAGGCCGACGTTTCGGACATTCAAAGCGAGTCCGAGTCTGTGACGGACGAATGCGGTCGGGAGAAGCCCCTCGATATCGACGAACAGCTGAAGCCCAAAGAGGACAAAAAGGAAACCGTCGAGGCTGCTGAGAAGAAACCCGAGACCTCAAAAACCCGCGGCTTGCTCAAGAGATTCCGCCGCAAGCGACCGAAGAAAGTCGAGGAGCTCGCAGACTCCGGAAAAGGGGAAAGCAGCGAAGGCAGTCGTCCGAGCAGCGCCAAAACCGCGAGCAGACCCACCAGTGCTTCGAAGCTCCTCGCTAAATTCAAGCGAACGAAAGCCCCGACAGAAGATGTGAAAGCAGCCGTCGCTGTTGAAACATCCGAGAAAATGAAGGGAGAAGACAAGGAGGACGGAGTCGTCGAGGCCAAGGGTCCCGAGGTGGTCACCTCAGAGGTCGAGGATTCGGCCGTCGCCTCGGACCCAGCGAAGTCTACCGAGGAGAAGATCGAGGTCCCAGAGGAACCTCTGAGCCTCACAAGCGAGAAAGACAGCGGTTACGAACCGAGCAATGCCGACAACAGCGCAGTGAACGCAGCTCCATCCGCGCGGAGGAAGCCTCGCAAGAACAAGAACAAAAAAGGCAAATCGACGCGTGACGCCAAGACAGACGTGCCTCTGACGGAAGTTGTCGAGGAAAAAATCGTGCCCGAGCAGATCGAGGTTCGCCGAGTCGAGATCCAAGAGCAGACGAGCGCAGTCGATGCCAAGGAGCTCAAAGCCAAGGACAACGTCAAGAGCGAGGTCGTCAGCAAAATCGTTCAGAAAGACTCTGTGAAAGCGGCGGTGGAATCAAAGTCGGAACCCGCCAAGAAATCCTCGGGTGTCAAATCCGAGAGCGCGGATAAGTCTCCGACTGACGGTGCTGAGCAGAAAAAGCGCAATCGCAGACGACGAACGAAAAAACGCTCCCCGACGAAACCCGCACAGGAATCAATAACTCCCGCGAACTCGCCCGAAGCTCCTGAAACCAAAGAAGCTCCGTCCGTTGAGGAAGTGTCGGCGTCGGTGAGCGCTCAAGCCGTCGACGAAGCGGCGGCTGGAGGTGCTACCGAGCCCGCAGCTACGGAAATTGTCGCCGGTGAGGTGAAAAATGAAGAACCTGCGGAAGATGTGAAGGGGGTTGAATCCGAGACCAAAACTCCGGATGAAAGCTCCAAACAGGGGAAATCCGTTCTGAGGAAATTCTTCGGGACCAAGTCGAAAACACCGAAGAAAGCCGAGGAGAAGGGGGATGATGAGAAGACCATGGACGACTCGACCGTTTCCACGAAGTCCAGTGGTAAAATGAAAAACATTCTCGGTCGTTTCAAGCGCAACAAGAGCCCCGCAGTCGTCGAAGAGACGCCGAAAGTAGAAAAATCCGCTGAGGAAGGCGACAACGATGACGTCAAAACCGTTCAGTCCGCTGAGTCCCCCGAAATGGAGACCGCCAAGAGCCATCAATCCGAGTCCTTGCGGGGAAGTCAAACGTCTCGCAAAGCCTCGCTCGAAGAAGATAAATCTTCGAAAAGTCTTCTGTCTAGTCTCTTCAGTTGGTCCTTCCGAAGAGCGGAAGAAACGACGCCCGAGACGCAGTCGTCACCAAAGCGTCCAGCAGAATTGACGCTGGAGGACGAGGAAACCAAGCCGGATAAAGACGAGTCCGCAGTCGAGAAGGATAAAGACGAAGAGTTCCGAGAACGAGTCCAGTCCATGGAGTCCGAAGCTCAGAAGTCGGACAGCACCTCCAAGTTCGAGACGCCCGTCGAGGAGTTCAAGCCCCTGGTTGGCGGCGATCAGAAGAAGACTTCGAGTTTCTTCGGGAATTTCGGTTGGCCCGCATCCTTGTGGACTTTCGGTGGCACGAGTTCAGATGAGATCAAGGAGGAGCCGAAAGTCGATGCCCAAGTGGGAGCATCAGCCGAACCGGAAAAAACAGCCGAGCCGGCGGAGAGCGAGACCCTTGAGCAAGCGGCTGAGGTGGAAGTGCCGGCGGAGAAGACCGCCACCCCCGTGCAGGATGCTGCAGCGTTTAAGTCTAAGGCCGAGAAGTTTTTCGGTTTCAAGAAATCTTCGGAGCCGGAGGACAATGCGAAGGAGCCGAAACTCAAGAAGAAGCGTTTCCTGCCGAAATTCGCGGCCGTGATTCCCGGAGTCAAGCGGGAGTCTGCCGCCTCGGACGAAGCGAAGGGGGCAGAAGAGAAAACCGCAGAGGCTGAACCTACGCCCGAGGATAAGTCCTCGGTGCCTGAAACCGCTGTCGAGGCGGAAGCTCCCGAGGCAGAAGTAGCCGCTGTCGAGGAAAAAGTAGTGGACATTTTACCGACCGTTGTCGAGGAACCGGAGGCTTCGAACGAGAAGCTGGACGAGGAGGCCATTCCGAAAGAAGAAACTCAACAGAAGCCGAGGCGGAAGTTCCACTTGCCGCGATTTAAGGGCTTCAGCAGCAGACCGAAAAAGTCAGCCCATGAGAAGACCGACGGTGAGGCGACCGGAGCCGATCGAGAAGCTAGCTCGAATGCTGCCGCTGAGACTCCCGGAGTGGAGGCCGCCGCTGAGACTCCCGGAGTGGAGGCCGCCGCTGCAGAAGAACCCGCGTCTGGAACGGTTGAAGTCGCCGAGAAGACCGAGGTCGATGAGACGTCGGAGAAAACCGCGGAGACAGCCGAACCAATGAAGTCGGAAGAAGCTAGTCAGAAGAAATCTTCGAAATTCAAGCTGCGGAATCCGTTCCGAAAATCTAAAGCTTCGGAAGAATCTAGTCGAAGCACCGAGGCGTCAACGGAACCCGAAAATCAAGCGCGAGAAGAGACCAAAGCAACGTACGAGACGCAAACCGAAGTCGATAGCGACACCAAGGCTGCGGTTGAGAAGGTCGTCGCTGACGTAGTTGAAGCCGTCGCAGAAAAAGCGGATGCCGAAGCTCAGCAGTCAACGGAGGTCGCAGCTTCGGTGGAGGGAGGGGAATCGGCTAAAGCCAAGAAGTCCTTGATTTCTTTCTTCCCGAAATTCCATCGAAAACCAAG